GGGGTGCAGCCACTAGCTGCAGTTGGACCCCAAAGGGCTGCTTGCTCCCCCACGGGGGCCCAGCTGAGCGCTGCTCAGGTGGGCCCTGTGGGACAGGAAGGGGGGCCTGACAGCTGGACATATTTATTGCATATAAGTTTAATTCCATTTCTTCTTATGGGAATTTTTCTTTTATGTACCAAACCTGTATTGTGCTTTCTGAAGTGCATGAGAACCATGTTAATCTCTGTATCACTAATCAACATGCTTGATAATCTGTAGAAAACCCCCATAACAATTTCTCCTTTCTTCTCAGCAAGATTAACAGGGGAGTTCTGTAATTTACTTAAACTGAATTATTTTACAAAATACACTTCAGTCATGTTTCCTAGAATAGTGTCAACAGTTTTACACACTGAAACTAAGTATTCCTCTTCAAATTAAATGAATGAATTATTTTATAAGACAGTATCGTTGATTTGATCATGATTGCTCATTAGTGTATTCAGAAAGTACGGTAATCTCAAGTATGTTTTCTTGTTGTCAGTGCAAATAAATGAGCCCCTATTATGTGTGTAAATGTTAATAGTTTGTGTTGTTTTAGTTTTTATGCAAAAATAATGTGGTTTATGGTCTTTGTAGCGATGTGCGATAAGAGCCATGTGTCTCCTGCCGATCAAAAGTACTAAAGGATTTGTGGATTTGTTTTCCGTTTATGAAACACATCTGATAATCTCCCTTCTTATCGGTGCATATAACTTGACTAAAGTTTTATTCTAGTAATTTTTCTTCTATATAAAGGACTTTAATCTTAAGAACCCGTGAAGAAAATTTCAGCTAATTAGCACTATTTTTGTGGGGGGATTTGTTTTAGGTAATGTGGTCTGGCTTGACGAAGTGACAGCAACACGAGCTCTTATAAATATGAGCTGTATGCCTGATCAGGATAAACCCAAAAACAGAGAAAACAACGAAGAGAAGACAACTGAAAAAAACGAGAAAGGTAGATGCACAGAAGATATAGGTCATTCAGTTAAAAATCCACATTCTTGAAAATATATTTTCTTGGCTTGGGTGCTGCATAATTTGAGTTACTGAAGGAGGTTCTGTCATGTAGTTTCAGGTAATGGTATTCTGCCACTTTAAAAAAGGCTTTCATCTTGGAAACCTTTTGAAGGAGCTGCTTCCTAAAAGGTGGGTTGGAGAGAAACAAAAATCAGTAATATGGTCTGTCCTGAACATTCTAAACACAAGGACAAATTCAGAGGTGATGTAAGTAGTGGGGCAAATTGAACAGTCCTTGTAATTCTCAAGCTGAGTGGGTGGAAGGGTTGGGATGGTAGCAATGAGAAAGCATCTTCTTACACCCACTTGTTTTTTTATCTTCTTAAACCATCCTGTTGGTTCCTTTTTCTTGTTACTACACCGTCCTTTCTGCAAATGGCATTGATTTACCAATGTTTAACTTTCATTGCTATTTATGCTATCTCTGAATTTGACCCTATTAAAACCTGCCCAATATCCCACTGTATGTTTGTAAACCTATTGCACATGGATCCAATTACTAGGTCTCATGTGCTTCCAAGCCAACTGGGTCTTACTAGAATCTAGCCACTGTTTCTAGCTTCAGGACCTTAGGATGTGTTCCCAGGCTCTGACCTCTTGTCTGATGCCTTTCTTTGGGATGTCACCATCTAGGACTTTGAAATCAATGTCTGAGATCTCCTGAGCACATTCCCTCCTCTCTTCCCAGGCACATAGACTCTGCAAAGTTCCACCTAGACTGTGAACACTCTGAGCTTGTAGCTTTAGCCTTGGAAACAGTATGGTAGGAAAACAAGTAACACAAGTCTTTATATGTAGCCTTTGACCACCAAGGTAATTTCTCTGAGCCATGTGCTCAGATTGAGACCTAAGGACCCTCAGTCATGCTTGCTGCTTCATCATTACAGGACCCTGTGTGGAAGACCCATTGTTCCATGGGGATGGGCCAGTAGCTGAAAGACAGTCAAAGTTGTTGACCCCAGATTGCAGTCTCAATGGCTTTTAGTGTTAGGTCTTTGAAAGAGCCACTGTGCGTGTCCAGACTTGTGCAGTCACCATGTCCCACGCTTCCACATATAGAACAAGATAATGTTCCTAATTTGACTCAGACGTATTCCACTCTGTCACAGTGCCCATAGTCTCATTTTCCAGACAGAGCATACTGCAAGGTAAGTTGTATAAATTGAAGCAGCAAAGGTACACCTTAAAATTTGCTAAACCTGGAACTGACTTGCTGACAACATCCTTGTAATCATAACGCCATTATGCTTCCACAGGCAGCAGTTTGTGGTTTATATCACTTTGACTATATCCAACTGTTTTGCTGCTAGGTGATGTGCTTAACTTCTAGTGATATGGTTCAAACCAAGATATTGAATTGTATGTTACCAATTTATGGGGACAATGCAATGTATAAAAACATTTGTTTTAGCTGTGACCGTATGTGTGACTTAGGTGTGAGTTGCATGAAAAAAAATCAGATTACCAGACTCCACTTTATATACTTTAAACACTAGCAGAAGCCATTGTATGTGGTCTGTTTTCATAACTCAGTTATGCTTCCAGGCGCCTTCACAGCAGATTTCTCCTTACAGCTTTATATTGCAACTCTGGCATTCTAAAAAAACCCTTTTTGCCTTGGAAAAACTAAGTCTATACAAAAATAGGTATGGTGAGGAAGACTTAATTGCTTTTTTATACCATTTTACCAGCCTCTTCCATACTATGTCTGTTTCTTTTCATGAAAAGCCTTTTTGTACAATTTTAAAACAATATAATTTTTTGTTTCAGGCAAATACCAAGATGCCACAAAATCTAACATTTTTAAAATATGTCCTGTATTATTTTGGAGGCTAGGGAAGGGAAAGCTCTCATTTAAATTGAGGACATATATTTTCACACTGAAAGTAAGTAAAGATCCTGTGGCCCTTTTTGTAAGAGGAAGATGCTAGCCCTTAGAAGGTGGCCAAATTCCACTGAAGTAATTGCATTCTGCCTATCTGTCTATTCTCCATCATTTTATTTGCGATCATTATTCCTTAGTTCCTGCCTTTAACGTTTGTGTAGATGCTCTGTGCTGCAAAATGCTGTTGTATTCCATCCTCAAGTTCAATGCATTTAATTGCAACGTGAAATAATTGCCAAATTCCCTTACTAAACAGGGTTGCTGGGAAGCTTGCCCAGCCTTTGTACAATGCTTTGAGATAATAGAGTGAGAGGCGCCGAGAGAAGACTTTTAAGTTGTCTTTCAGAAATATTTGAAACAAGTTTCTGCTGACCATATAAACAAAATAGTTTTCTTATCCCCCAAAACTCCCTGAAAATATCTTCCATCAACTAGCAATGCACAGTGTATACAATCAATAGATTAGTGTAATCTGTTATTAAAGTGGCAGCAGAATTAAGGTTTTTAATTACCTCTCTGCCATCAATAAGCTGAAATGCAGTGTCTTCTTTTATTACCAGAGAATCAAACTGATAATCCATCCTTACTGTTTCAACCACTTACATGGATTGAGAGCGCCAGCGTGAAGAAAGCTCTCTTGATTAGTTACCTTGTATACACACCCTGTTTACAATTTTTACAGATATTTATTATCTTAATTATTCTCTAGGCTACACAGAACAATTGATAACTTACTCAGTTTGATTTCAGAAAAAATAAGGAAATGAAAACCAAATACTGGAGACATCATAAAATCAGGAAGAATTTCTTACATTTCTTTATTCTTAGACAAACAGGAGGAAAGCTCGGATGATGAGACTGAGGAAGGAGAAGTTGAGGATGACAATCCAAGTGATGTGGAGGTCAGTACAGAAAGAAAACCCTTAATATAAGAGATTGAGTCTTGGCCAGTGCAGATACTGAGATCTTCCTGTATTTTCTTAATGCACAAATATACAGAATCTAGACTATTATATAGAATCATAAATTACATTAGTAAATCAGATTGAGTACTTATGAAAACATTTAAGGCTAGGGAAAGTCCAAAGACTTTGTCAATACGCTTTGCGAAACTTGGTTTTGAGGATGGGAAGTCAGAAGCTGCTCCACCCGTGTGAGGACGGTGCAAAAGCAGGTATGGAAAAGACTGTAAAGAGGAGATAGAGTAATTAGGAGCAGGGATGAAGGGGAGCCAAGCTATTCAGTTTTGGCAAACTATGCAAAGCTATACATCAAGGAATATGTTTATTTAAGTCACACACTTCTTATTTCTTTCACTCTTACAACAGCAGGGACAGCTCATCTGTGATGATGCTACTTTTCAAAAGAAAAATGCTGAAATATTGTTAGAGGTAAAACTTTTTTTAAAAAAGCTGTTTGGTTTAAGATGAGCTGCTTAATAGAACATTGTCAAGTCAATGTAGGCCCAAAATTTAGTTTGTGTAAAACAAATTTAATATTAATAAATAAGTTTAATTATTTTACGTTTCCTAAACCTTTTTCGTGTTTTGTTGTATGTGATAACCTGATAAGTCTAGAAATTGATTAAGCAAAAATTGACTAGCTGCCTTTCATTGTCCAGCTTGAATGAAATGTAGATAGTCAGTTGTCAGAAGTAGTGGAAAGTTAGATTTTTAAAAGCTTTAGTATTTAGGTATTAATAAAACAGAGCAGAGAATCTTTTATTTTTAAGACAATAATTTTAACCCACCAGTATTCCTTTAATAAATCAGTCTGTTAAAAAAATGCAAAACAGGTGAGTTCACAAGTCTGCTAAAAGCACCTAACATGTAAATAAACTTTCTTAGTAATGTATCAGAGGGGTAGCCATGTTAGTCTGAATCTGCAAAAGCAGCGAGGGGTCCTGTGGCACCTTATAGACTAACTGAAGTGTTGGAGCATAAGCTCTCGTGGGCAAAGACCCACTTCGTCAGATGCATGTAGTGGAAATTTCCAGAGGCAGGGATAAATATGCAGGCCAGAATCAGGCTGGAGGGGATGAGGGGGGTCCAATCAGGGAGGGCGAGGCCCACTTCTAGTAGTTGATCTGGAGGTGTGAATTCCAAGAGAGGAGAAACTGCTTTAACAAGACTTTAACAAGACTGTGAATGGCTCGCTAACGACAAAAGCAGTTTCTCCTCTCTTGGAATTCACACCTCCAGATCAACTACTAGAAGTGGGCCTCGCCCTCCCTGATTGGATCCACCTCGTCACCTCCAGCCTGATTCTGGCCTGCATATTTATACCTGCCTCTGGAAATTTCCACTACATGCATCTGACGAAGTGGGTCTTTGCCCACGAAAGCTTATGCTCCAACACTTCAGTTAGTCTATAAGATGCCACAGGACTCCTCGCCGCTTTCTTAGTAATGTTTGTTAGCGTTAATGTTGAATATAATCTATGCTGAAAGACATTTTCTAAAATATTTTCTTTCCAAAGCTGGATGCGCTGTCCCAGGTAGAGGAAGATTCTCTCCTACGTAATGATCTTCGCCCAGCCAACAAGTTGGCTAAAGGAAACAAACTGTTCATGAGATTTGCTACTAAAGGTAAATAACCCGCTGAACAGGAATTATACAAAGTTTGAAGCTGACTGATGACTGAATGATGTCTTTATAAGACAGGTAACAATAGAATCACTATTCAAGTGTTAGATTGCATGCCAAGAATTCTATGTTAAGATCTCATAGTATTAATGCGCATTTTTACTGTGAGAATGATGTGTGTATATATAATCAGGGCTCGACAAAGCATTGAATCTACTTGCCCATGGCAAGTAGATTTCAGCTGGGTGCCCCGTTTGTTTCCGGCGCGCGCATGCACAATACAAGTCTTGCGCATGTGCAGTGCAGGGCTGGCAAGCGGCTTTTGCCACCATTCGTCAAGCCCTGTATATAACACTTACTTTTGGTGAAATTCAGCCTGATGCAAAGGTTCAGCAAAAGGTGACTGTAGTGGTAGATACACACTGTTACCAGCTACAGTCATATGAATGGGTAATATTAATGCATATAAGGTAAAGAAACACAAGTCCTTCACCCCCCCCCCCCCCCCAAACGCAGTCTTGAATAGGGATGTTAGTTTAGTCGACTAACCATTTTACTGATAAGCTGATGCTTTTCGGTTAATAGTGTGTGTTATACTCAGCTGGCTCCCGGAGAGGTGGCTTTGCTGTGGCAGGGCAGTGAAGCCTCTTCCCCAGGAGCCGGATGGACAAAGGCCTCTGGGGAGGCTTGGCTGCGGGCTCTGCAGCATACAGCTCATTTAAGCTTTATACAGTGGAGCCCACAGCATATATCCAAATTTTAACATCCCAAATCCTGATAGTGACATTTCTCCATATTCCAGTTCTTAAAGTTATGCAAAGTACAACAGGAACATGATAAATGGAAACTACCATCTCCATAGAATGAAATTAATTAAACCCCGTGTTTTTTACTGTTATTTCAAAGGAATTATCAAGCCTGGTAATCATTTCTGTTCCTAGTAAGTACACTGATGTTTTATTCAGTTGAAAGAGATTGGATATTTTATAGCTCAAAAATATTTGAGACTGCTTTTTACTATATATACTTCAAATCTTTGAATGGGCACTCGTTGGCTATGTCTACACTGGCGGCTTTTTGTGCAAGAACATCTTGCGCAAGGGTTCTTGTGCAAGAAGTCTTGCGCAAGAAAATGTCCACACTTCCATGTGCGAGCTGTCCTTTTGCGCAAGAGCGCCCATGGCAGTGTGGATGCTCTCATGCGCAAGAAAGCTCTGATGGCCACTTTAGCCGTAGGGCTTTCTTGCGCAAGATATCCCTGCGGAGCGTCCACACTGCCCTCTTGTGCAAGAACTCCTGCACAAGAGGGCTTACACCTATTAAAAAAAAAAAGGGTAGCTCTTGCGCAAGCCCTCTCTTACCACGCCCTACTGTACATTTCCTTGCGCAAGAGCGAGCGGGTAGTGTGGATGCTCTGCGGATTCTTGGGGAAAAATGGCCATACTTGCACAAGAAGCTGCGAGTGTAGACGTAGCGTTTATGTTTGCTCCAGTATGGTTAAGGTATCAGCAAAGGGGAAAGGTATTCCTTTAACTTAATTATTAATTTTCAGATGATAAAAAAGAGCTTGGAGCTGCAAGAAGAAGCCAGTACTACATGAAATATGGCAACCCTAATTATGGTGGAATGAAAGGAATTCTTAGCAACTCTTGGTGAGTATATGAAGGGGAGTAGAACCTTGCATTTGTCTATCCATGCTTGGAAGACTATTTAATTTGTGAGTGTTATCCTTCAAAGTTCTCAGACTTGGGTGGAGGGCATTGATTTGTTGTTAGCAATGTTGATTTGTTGACTTTACATTTATAAAAATTAAGATTTGAATTCAAAATTAGTAAGTGCTTATACTTGAGATATTCAGACTCGGTGAAATATAGCCATAGATTAAATCTGTTCAACTGCCATTAAAGTCAGTGGAAATTACAGCTGTTTACTCCCTGGCTGAATTTGGCTCACTTTTCTTTCCATGGCAGACATGTTTGCTTTTGTTGACGTTCCAGGAAACGAAGATATCATTCACGTCGAATACATCGTGATGTGATAAAGAAAAGGACACTCATTGGGGATGATGTCGGATTGACGCCTCCTTATAAACACCGGCATTCAGGTAATTAATAACAGTACTAGGAACATATGTAGTGCTTTACATCTTCAAATAAAATGAATTGAAGCTTTTAGGAAACTGCAGGCTGAAATCAAATATAGATCTTTGTGCTTCACCAGCCTGCAGAGTTTAATTCAGGAGAAACAGTAGTTGCCACAAGCTAATTTTGGGTGGAGGCATTTCAATAGCTAAAATGTGAAACTGAGGCAAGATACTAGGGTTCATGGACCTGCTTAGCCACTGATTTACTCGTTACGTTACCTAATTTTACCTGTTTGCCTGTCTGTCTAGCTACTTGATATGACTCATAGTGTCTGAATGAATTACTCTTACAATACCTCTGTGTGACAGGACAGCATTACTCCCACTTTGCAGGAAAGGAACTGAGACACAAAAATTAAATTAATTGTCCAAGGCCACTTGGGATATCTGTGACAGAATTAGGACTGAAACCCAGCTTTTTAAAACCTTTATACCTATTTCCCAAGGATGATGTAAGAAATCACAGAGCTAGAGTCCTTTTAAGATCCTCTAATGAAAGGTGCTAGGCAAATGCAAAGTGCTACCTAAGCATTAATATACAGAATGTAAATTTTAATTCATTAAAGTATTCTCTCAAGTAAAACAGTAATTGGAAATATTAACTAATACCTGCCAAAATATAATTGTTCCTATCTTTGGATTTGGTAACCTGACATTTTTAATAGTTAGATTTCATAATTAATCTGATAACCAGAACAGTATCAGATAAGCAAAAAATAGCTATGCTTTTCCCCCCATCACTTTGATATTTTTTTTAAACAATTCCTGTGATTTTTTGCAAGCAACAATTCAGATACAAAACGTCAAATCATTTAGCATAGTTGAGTAGGTACTTCATTGTTTTCTTTTAAAGATTTAAGAAATAGGGTCTAAAGCATGAAATACAAAAATCTGTATCTGTTTACACTAGGGATGTTGAAATATGTTTAACCAAGTAAACGTGTAACTGCTGAAATTTTCAGCGGTTACACATGGGAGGGGGGCAGGTGGTTCCCTGCAGGCACTGGCTCCTGTCTGCCACCTGTGCTGCTCCCTCTGATACAGAGGTAGCAATGCTGATGTGGGGAGGGGAGGTCGCACTCCAAGAGTCCGTGCGCACTGGGAGCTGGCTTTTAAGCTGTCTCCCCAGCATATCAGGTTCCTGCATGTAACTGAAGGTTAACCGATGAGTTCATCGATTAACTATGTACATAGTTACACTTTCACGTTCCTAATTTACACTTCATCTTAAACTGTGATGTTTGCCAAAAAATAAACAAAGCATTTGGGTAGTAGGGACAGATATTCCAGAAAAATCCTATCAACTGATCTTCTAATTGGTATTTTAGTCTTTAGAGTAGTCATGTGATTTATGGGTTTTAGGGAAATAATATGGAAAGAAATATGTTAAGGGCTAAGGAAAAGGTCTACAGGAGGCTGCGTATCTACTGATTGCATTGTAAAAAAAAAATACATTCAATAGTTTTTCTGGAATTATTCTGTATATGTACTGAGTCACCTAAAGATTGGAAAAGGGTGCTAAAATAGTGCACCATCTTCAGTTTACCAATATGTGATTAACACTATTATTTGTTGGGGCTGTGTTTGCTTCCTGTTGCATGTGACTATGGCCCTACTGTACCTTTTGGTCAATTTCACAATCATGAGATTTTTAAAATGGTAAATGTCATTATTTCCGCTTTTTAAGTCTGAAAATTCACAGTGTTGTAATTTTAGAAATCCTGACACAAAAAGGAGTTATGAACAGTACTACAGCTCTTTTAAAATAACCTTGTGAACCCCCTGCACATCCCTTTTGGGTCAAGTCCCCCAAGTCAAGATATGTGCAGTAATATCTTTTAATAAACCAACTTTTGCTGATGAAAAAGACAAGCTTTTGACCTCAGCAGACCTCTTCTTCAGAACTTAAAGTTGATCCAGTGAAAGAGATTGCCTTACCCATCTTATGTCACACATACTGGAACCAACATAACTACCTAAACTCTGCAAACATTTATGAAAAAGATAAGCTACAATCTATCAACATTATTTTATTGCAGGCTTAGTGAACGTTCCTGAAGAGCCTATTGAGGAAGAGGAGGAGGAGGAGGAAGAGGAAGATGAGGATATGGATGAGGATGACAGGGTTGTGGTGGAGTATCGGGATGAACTACAAGCTTTCAAGCAGTCTCGAGATCGCAGTGCAGCAAGACGATCAAGTGCCAGTGCATCTGATTCTGATGAAATGGACTATGATCTTGAACTGAAAATGATATCCACGCCGTCTCCCAAAAAGAGCATGAAAATGACAATGTATGCGGATGAGGTGGAATCTCAATTGAAAAATATTAGGTAAAGATGTAATTTCTTGCATTTTATTATTTAAAATCCCCAAACAAAAAATATTTCTTGCATCGACTATATATTTGACAAAAATTTGTCCATCTACCCAAGAACTCCTCCTAAACGGTAAGAATTAAGACCGCCAAATTTGGTATATGCCTTTTCTTTAGGGTTTGGTTGTGCCTGGGAAATGGGATGTGTCTGGAATGGGATTGCATCTCATAAATCCATAGAGAAAAGACAAAATCACCAGACAGGTGAAAGGGGCTGGCTTCCCTTTCCCTCTCTTCCCTTTCCCTCTCTCCCCCCCC